CTGAGAGGGTAGGGAGCTCTGCTTTTGTTCAACTGACAAGTGTAAGGACCACCAAGAAATATTACTGTGAATAGACATGATGCTTCTTGCTAGATTTCACCTGCATCTGCCCTGTTATGTCTCAGCTTACTCTAAAGTGTAAGCTGAGTTATCCATAACACTGTGTCACCTCAAACATGGCCCAAATTCAGGTTTGCACAAACACCTCTCCAAACAGGTCAAAAAAACTATTATAATTCCAAAGGTGCAAATAATGGATGGATCCAGCTATAATTATGAGGAACAAAGACTTATTTTCATACTTTTTACTCAATATTTATCACTATTCTGTGATGACAGACCACAGTCTAATCTTTCAATGATGACTCTAACTTTCAAAATATCCCTTGGTGCTGATAAAGTGAACTCATGTTTTATCAAAGATGAGTGGTTTATTAAGACAAAGATTAAGACAATCTTCCAGTACAAACCACTTCCCTTTCAATCAACAGTATATTCAATACAACAAGGATGTGAAGCATGGATGGAACTTGTAAAAAAGCATTCTTTACAATGTCCCATTCATGTGAGCCCTGTAATTTACACTTGCCCTTTCTCCCTCCTGACCTCAACTACTAAACAGCAGATGATGTTATGAATTAATGGCTTCTGGTACATCAATTTCTGCAGCAGTAGAGTGGTAAAGTCTGACGTGTGTTGTTGTTTCCCCAGACTGCTGTTGTTATGAGAGGTGCAGTGGGGGGGGGGGATAAGTGCAGGTTGTGGACATGACTCAGATACCAGCTGGTGGAAAGTTGCCAGAGCATACACAAAGGGTAGAGCAGGGACTGTGGAAATACTCAGATAAGTTACTGGTTCTTTTGAGAGCTACACCAATTTATTTTTATGGCAGTCAACCTAAATATACAGCCAGACAGTCCTCAAAAAATTGCACTATAAAATACAATTATCTTTTTTTTTTTTTCTTGTTTGTTTAGGAAAGGAATATTCTAAAGGCAGACAATGAAGGTTTAAAGATCCAGCTGGAACAGGCACACAAAACAATTGAATCTCTCACAATCCAGAAAAGAAACCATGTAGTTGACAGTCTACAACACAGAGACTGCTCCTAGCAGATGAGAGGAAAATCTCCTATGGAATGGAAGATCGTAAGACTGAAAGAGGGGCTATGATAAAGCTGCTTACCAAGTGAACTGGAGAGAGAATCTGAAGGATATTAAGCAGAAATGTTCTCTTTACTCAACACATTTCCCTTTTAAACATGCACTCCCAAATGTATAAAATAATTTTGACCTTGTAATTTAGCATTATCTGTGCAATGGAAAATAGTATCTTCTGGGTTTGCTTTTAAAAGGAGTGAGAGTGTTGCTGAAGTCTCTGTTCATGTTGAAGACCATATTGATTTCCCAGTGACTTACCTGGCTGCCAACAGCATGCCTTACTGTACAAATGTTCTGACAAAGTAGATATTCATAAGACTGGGTCACCTCAAATTTGGCCCAACTCAGTTTTATAGATACAAATGTGTGATAAAGCTGAGTAAATTAAAACTGTAGAAAACCTATATTAAGAAAAATAATTCATTCTTGGAGCTGCAACCAATTAAAAACATGAAGTGAATGGTCACATTTAATTCCAAAAATTTAACAAGAAAATTAAAGTAGCCAATCTAATGATATTTGATTGATCCATACACTTTAAGATAAACTGACAAATTTTTAAAACATCTTTCAGAGCTTTAGAAGTTCTGCTGCTCAAACACTTACCTTTATTAAAGTAACAGAAGTGAGACTACAGAGACTTGACATTGAATACTGCTTCCATGCCATGACTTGGAAGATTTAATTCCTCTTACTTGGCTTAATGGGTAACTTGTTGTCCACATACAGTAGATATGGCATAAGGTTGATTATATTTCTCTCACATCAAAGTAGATTGTTGCCATTGTTGAGCAGAATCTGTAGAGCCATATTATGAGAGAAACTGGACAGCAAGCCCTGTGCAATAGCTACTGTAGTTCAGAGCTCCTAACAAGATTTCTCCATTTTCTCTCTCCTAGATTTCACATGCACTTTACATTAAGTCAAGATGAGTGTGCTCCTATGTCTGTAAATTTTGTATAGTAAAAGGTGCGAGGGAGGTAACTTAAAGACACAAAGTGTATATATTGTTAAGAGAAAATAGTCTTTCAAGTTACTGATAAATCTACTTGTCAAAATAGCCGATTAGAAAATTCCATTTGCATTCCAAGAGATCTGTACACTTAAGAGCTGTGTATTTGTCATCACACATACAAACACCATAAAAAAGTCCACTTAATGCTCAACACTTCTAAGTTACCAGTTCCATTATAGATTGAAATTTAGTCAATGACAATAGCATCTGTGCTTTGTGTTCAAAGTGGCATAAATATACATTCCATCCACAATTTAGTCATTATCAGGTATATGAATGCTTTATTTATAAAATTAATTTGAAAGTACTTGCCAGTTTAGTGATTCAAAATTGCTTGGAAATTGGGTTGTGCTTGCAATGCCATGTATAAGTAAAAACAAATGGAGGGAAGGAGTAGTAGTAGTAGTAGATTTTCTGTAACATTTCTGTAAATAACTGAAATGCATAGGAAAAAACAGCTCTGTGCAGCTTTTTAAACTCATACACTAAACCTGAATTATTATCAAGTAAGGTGGAATTGCACTTTGGTCAGTGAAGCAATCAGAATGGCTGTCAGGTCATGTCTGCACCCTTGGTTTGCCCATTTTCTGTGAGCTTCTTGATTTTGTCCTCTCTTCAGGGAACTACAGCAAGGTATATTTCTAAAAGGCATTTAACAAATAAAAGCCTGTTTCTACAACTATTAAACAAGATAAAAAGTTGGATATATTTTCACTTATTTAAAAAATGCCCCAGAGGAGCAGCTAAGACACATAAATCTTGTTGTACAGCCAAGCTAAGTGCTCACTGGTGGTCTAAACTCTGGATTTGAATTTGTGTATGTACATATACTTTGTCTATGATGGAGTGTGGCGATCATGAACAAAACCTTGTAGTTTAAAGGAAAATTCCCTACTATCAGCAGCTGGGCCAAAGGCTACTGTAGAACTAGGTACTTAATGCTCCAGACTGAGTTATGACCACAGGTTTGTACAGTCCTAAGCGCTAACTTAATGTTTCTCTGTAAATCTGAAAGATTTAAAAGGGATCTGTATGCAAGAATGTCTTGCAGAACAAGTGTGCAGTGCTTCATGTGTGCTAAAAACTTCCTGCTTCAAAGAAGTCAGCTGATACCTGGATAACTTCAGAGCTTTGTAAGTACCTTCAGGTTCTCTGTTTGCCCAAAATCTGTAACAGTTATCTCCTCCTTCCCCACCCAACCCCCTCATTTTTTTGTTTTTCTTTTTCTCCCCTCTTTCTCTGAAGTGCTCTTAGTCCCTTCTTTTCTTTTGGGACGTTCTTTTTCCTGCATGAAAGACTTAACAGCAGAACCTGACTACAGGGAAACTGTTAAAACTGACAATGCTACCCAGAAAAAAAAAATCACTTGCCTTTGTGTTAATCTTCAAGCTGCTTTATGTTAGGAAAAAGGGACACAATTAAAAGCGCTGTTTAGAAGTCATGTTATCAAACAGTGACACTGAAATTTATCTTGTCATGGCTAAGTCAAATGAACACACTCTTCCTTCTCTAGGTCCAGCTCTACTTACAAGAAGGCAGAGAGAACAAGCACCACTCCTCATTTATTTTTTAAGCGTGAATTCTGATTGTTTAAAGATAAAAGTAAATAGATTGAGTAGTATCATAATTAACAAGGCAGGGGCTACTGTTTATATTCAGGTTAAATACAATTGCTTTTAGATTAGCTCATGTGTTTTGGAAATACGGTTTTGTTCTAGCAGCATCTGTTAGTTTATTGTAACTGCTCTCTATGGCAACTTCAAGTTTAATGCTGTCTGAGAAGTTTGAAAAAGTGTACAGATTGTAAATATTTTATATAAATTGTTAAGATTTTGGTTTAATATTTATAATAGAAAAATATTAAAATTGCATTTCATGCTGCCTCTGATTTTGTATCTCAGAGAAGTCTATACAAACTATACTAGTCTTCCTTGACTGTTACCTGAGACCCTTCTGCAGCATTTACCTAGTACCAGTGTCTCAGACCAGCTTCACCTTCTCGGAGCCTTGGAATGGTCCTGCGAAAACTCAGGAAGCTAGGTATTTGCAGATTATTTGTTTGGTATTCTACTGGCTGACATAGTAAAAACACTGTGTTGTTACTCAGTATGCCAAGTACTACAAAGCAGCCATCTTTAGTATCATATTCTCTCACTTTTGTTAAGAATGCTAGTTTTGAAAAGATTTCACAGCACAGTAGTCAAGTTTAAGTAAAGCTTCTGTTGTGTCTGCTAATGCTGCCTGTCGCACAGGCAGAACTGCAGCACTCTGAAGACCTGCTATTTACCTTACAGTAAACTTCAAACTACCACAGCCTAAACTGGTTTTTATATGGGGAAATGGGCATCCATTCAGTTATCTTCAATCATGTCAAGGAAGACAAGAAGAGGTGAAACTCCTATTTGTATGGCAAATCTGCTCTACAGTCTTAGGCAAAACAAGTTGTGGGGTTTTTTTCATAATTATCTCAAGTAATAAAACTTGAGAAGTAATTGGAGGATATTTCTTTAGTTTACAAAAAGACAAAAGCAGTGATCATATAGATCACTGTGCTTTTACATTTTTTTTGAGTAAGATAAAATGTAACTGAGATTCTTTAGTAATCCCAGACAAAATCCCAGACTTGTGACATACCTTGCCTGTTAAAATTTTTCTATAAAGTTATCTTTTGCCTTCTCCATTTTGGTCAAAATACATGTTATTTCCATCACCATAAAAAGTAAATTTCACCATTATTGTAAATCACCAGCAAGAATTCTTTCTTACAAACAAAGGAGGAACATATGATAGTGGATCCAAATCACAATACACACAGATGATGCAAATAATTTTAAATACAGTTCTTTATTCCTCAGTGTTTACAGCTGTTGACAAAAGCATCTCTCAATTCCTGAAAGAAATCCCCAACCTTTTTTTTTTCAGATCTTCAACAAACAAAACCATATTAATTAGGTATTCATTAAATGCAAATAAACACAAAAATGTTCACAAACATATATATGAAAATCTTTTACTTACAACAGTATTTTTGAAAATGTTTTTTTTCAAGACAAAACTTGAGGTTTAAATCAATTACTTTCATGGTGTTATTGCATTGTTTGAGAAATTAAAGCATACATCCTGACAAAAGGACAGCAAAGGATACCTCCATGAAATATGGTGGTGCTTACTTTATTTTTTAATGACTGGCTTCAGATTTTGAAGTTATTTAAGAAAGATTGAAACGGCCAGATTAAAAAAGAAAATCTCCAGCCCTATTTGTATTTCCATATTTTACATGGTCTACATACACCTGACTGAAATAGGATACTGAAATAATTTAACTGTTAGAATTGAAGTGGGCATGTACCTGCTTCACTTGATGATTTACTTCATTCAGAACTGTCCTGCCTACTAACAAACAGGATGGACTGATGAGTGTGAAAACACCAAGGCACATCACATCTGCAGTTACAACAATCCAACCAAACTGCTGCAATCTTCCATCCTAAGACTAATGAAACCTATCAGCATAGATATGTTGTTTCTTTTTCCAGGTGTAGTTCCTTGATGAAGCCACATGCTTGACTGCTGATTATTTGTAGCAAAAAGAAACACTGGGATCAGCAAACAGAATTTTAATGTAATCTTAAGGCTTTGGTTGTTGAAAAGCTGCTCTCTATTCCTTTGCTGACCCACACTTTGCTCCAAGGGCAGCAGTCTCAATTGGTATGTCATTGGTCTGGGAGCTATTCCAGAGCATTAGGCAAAAACCAAGCTCAGAATCAAGAGAACCAGTACTGCGCTCCAACGTGACCCATGAGGGGTCTCTCCGTAATGACTGCAGAGGCTGCCAAGAGCTTAGGCCAGTAAGAAGCACAGAAAAATTTGGCAAAGGAGCGACAGTGCCAGCAGTTGGGTGACATAAAGCCATTATTGCAAAAGTTCACATCCCAGCTAACATGTTCTAGGCAAGCAAAACTTCTGCTTCTTTTTATCAGGCACCTGCTGCGACCTTAAAGCCTGGGTAAAGCCATATATATCATACATTAGAAGCAGCATTCTCAAGCAAAGTGATGAGAGAGGAAATAACAAAAGAAAAGCTTTTGAAAGACAGTAATTAGATTTGCAGCAGAACTTTATATTCATGCATGAAGTTGCCCTGAAACAGGGCATGATATGTGTGTTAAGTAAAAAAAAAAATCTTTAAAGCACAGAACTTTATATTCATGTATGAAGTTGCCAATGAAACAGGGCATGATATGTGTGTTAAGTAAAAAAAAAAATCTTTAAAGCATACCAATGGACACCAGTAAGAAATTTGTGCAGAAAGAGCTTGTAACTGAGAAACATAAATCCAAAATCAAATCCTAAAGTTGAACATGGAGTTGCGCCTACAGTTACAAGTGCTTCAAGCCTGCTGTGCTATTTCATCATCAGCTGCCTTCCTGAATCTCTCTGTAGTGACCTGCCCCTGATAAATGCTGTCATGAGAACATATTCAGGCAGCATCCCCTTCCGACCTCTGTTCCCAGGAGCGGCCTCACAACACGGCAGATCTAAAAGATACTGGGCAGCAGAAACTGACTTCTTTGAGTGACAGTGCTAAATTTAATTCCTGTCTACATATATTTACAGGCATGATGGTGTGTCAGCTAACTCCTTCTAGACTAACTGTGTGTGTGAGGGAGAAGGAACCCATACCATGTCAAGACAGGGCTTCTTTTAGGTTGGCAGAGAGAGAAATCACTGAGAGAAGGCAACTGCTACATGAGGTATCTTGTTACTAACCAGACAGGTTGTGATTCCCAAACACAGAGCAGGCAAGGGAGAAGAGAATAATTTAAAAAAAACAAGGGGAAAGAAAAGAAGGGGAGAAGAAATGTCATGTTCTTTCTCATAAAGCTCAGCTTATTCCAACTTTGTGTCTCAAAGCTGATACACAAGGATACATACATGAATTCACACCAGACATGATGGCTGCAAGTTTTCTGCCCAATCTGATTTTAAATTTTTTTTTATGAAACAACCACAATGGAAAACAGGTAAAATGAAAATAAGACACTATCAAAACTCACTATGATGAGTTTACAGTACATGCTCTGACCATTAGTGTGTCTGATACATTATCAACACAAAAAACCAACCTGATTTGATTAATTTATGTAGAGTATTAATTCACAATGTTACTATAATGTGAAGTTCTGCAAGAATAATCAAATCTAATTGAATAATTTTCACCAAAGCCTTAAGGATTTTAACATTTGAAATTAAAATTGAATTCATGAATTCATTTTCATGAAAACTATGAATGAATAACAATGACATGAAGAGAACAAGCCTGAAAGCAGCATTCTTGAGTCTTTTAGAAGTGGTTTCATCCAGTTCTTAGGCCTACTTTGTTTTTTCTACACAACATTTTGGAGCAGGAGAGTAGACATGCAACATGCAATAATCAGAGAGGTCTGACCATTAATATATTTTTGTTTGTTTAGAAAGGGTTTTATTCAGTTTTCTGAGACTTATTTTAAATAAAATTACATAATAAAAAACACCATATAAGCAGAATGAAAAACAAGGACTTCAGTCATCGGATTTTAGTATAAAACTTCAGTTAACTAAAAGAACTCAGCGAGAATATCAGTTGGTCTAATGAAATTACTCATATGGTCATACTTAATTCTAACCTAAACCCAAGTCAACATATCTAAATTCCTAGTACCAGTAAACACCACCACTATATTCTGCCAGTTACTCTGTTAAGATTTACAGTACTTTAGTATCTTCGGTATCCTCCCCCTCCCCTTCCACCATAGGGATCACCGTAGCCTCCCCTGCCACCGTAACCTCCCCTGCCACCTTGGAAGCCACCTCCACCTTGAAAGCCACCTCCACCTTGAAAGCCTCCTCCACCTTGAAAGCCTCCTCCACCCTGGAAGCCTCCCCCACCTCTTCCACCACCTCTGAAACCTCCTCCTCCCCCTCTACCGCCCCCACCCCCCCAGTTACCCCTTCCACCACCACCGCCCCCCCAGCCACCTCTTCCACCACCTTCTTGTCTTTTTTGCCATGGAGGCATTTCAGGAGGAGGTGGTTCAATCTCTGTTGGTCTGCCTCCACGGTCAGGGACTCTCCCCATCAGAACCTGTATGGAAAAAAAGGTCATTTTCAGAGTTAAAAAACAGTAGTACTAACTTGAAGAGACACAGGATTTTCTCCTGTGAACAGAGAAATGCTGCCTGCTGTTTTCCGGAACTTTGGTCCCTCAGTGCAGTGCCTGACAGTAGAATCACTATCTCCTGTCCCTGTAACACCACAACAGAACTCTGGAAATGGTCTCATTTTTCACCTCTAAAACAGAAATAACTGCAGCTAGCTGGCTCATATTACTTTTGTTAATTTTTTTATGAAGAACACCACACACCTGAAGTATTATTGCAATAAGCAATATACACACTTCATATACAATATATACAAATACACATATAAATTTATACTCCTTATGATGTGGCTCTTCTACTTAAATTTCAAAGTTCAGGTTCAAACCTAATCAGCCAATTAAAAAAACCAAAAAAACAGCTGGCAAACTGATGTGCAGTTCTCAAAGGCACACCGGTTTGCCTAACATTAGAAACTACTGACACTCAGTGAACAGCAAGAATGAACAAAATATGCAACAGGCTGCAGTAACACTTCCAAGAAAAGGAAAAAAAAAAAAAGGCATCGTGTCTATGGCAGGTATTACTCAGTGTATAAAAAGAGAAACTGCACTGGACAGAGTTAAACAAAACAAACATCTTTGACAAACAAAGATGTATCCAAGTAGATATTTTTGTTGTTGCTTTCGAATTTCCTAAACTCCGTGTGATCAATGTTAACATTCCCTGATTAGTCCCAGGCACTCCAACTAAAGTCCTCTCAAAAAAAAACAAACCCACCTTTCTCTGAAATCCTATAATAATTAAGAAATTTCAGAGTGTTAAGGATCAAAACATATTAAAGTATCTAAATCAGGTAAAAAACATTAGAAAAACCTGTAAATGCAGGATCAATGAAATCAGGTTTAGTCACCACTTGACTGGTGAAACTCACGTCACTACTTACAAGCTTCAGCTTTTATCACATACAAGAGAGCAGCACTGTCGATTCACTACTGCAGCCAAACCAGGTAATTTTACTTTGCAGCAAAATGACATTTCTACAGAAACTTTCATGATTTATAACACACCGATGAGCTAGAGATGTGGGTTTACAAACCAAACAATAATATCCTGGCAAGGTAGTTCAGGAACTGATACCACAAAAACACTTACATGCATCCTTGACGTGTGCAGTTCCCCTGAACTCAAGAGGTCATCTACACTCACATATACACTCCCCCCCCATCTACACTACTCTATTTCATCCTGTTGCATGACTGACTGTCTAGGAAGATCAAAAAAAGGACTTTCTGCAATGTTTACCAGAATACTGCAAACCTTCCTTTCTTAAATGGAAAAAATGAAATTAAGGTACCAAGCAAAACCAGTGTAATTCATTCCTTTTGAGAGGTCTGCAAATGCCCATGTCCATTTCTCACTGCCAGAAAAGCATACCTTGTTGATAGCACAGGCAGTCTTCTCCCGTGTTGATCCACTACTGGTTCTTATGATCTTGGAGAAGTCCTCGCGAGCAGCAAGAAGGTGAGCCAGTGTAATGGTGGACTTGGGAGACAGCGCGTAGCGCTTGGGCTGGTAGATCCGTGCTATTTCATCTGTTTTTACCTGAAGGATGACAGCAAACACTACTTACTTGCCAGGTAGCAAACACGCCAACAGACTTACTATAAACCATGTGCTGGTCTCAGTAAGTTTCAATCTGAACACAAGGTGAGGTGTAGCTTCTGGAAATACAAACTATATTACAAATCATAGTGCCAGTTATCACCAGTTCTCTTCCTGTTGGTGGGGGTATTACACAGAAAGTGCTGCTGATTATGTTTAATTGATGCTTAGCACCAGTACAAAAGAAACTTCTCTATCTACTCGCATCAGATTCTTCAATGTCTTCCAACATGTCTACGGACTAAAACTTAAGGAGTCCACACTGCTTTCTCAAGAGCTTTACATAGCCATATTCAACAGATTGCTTCTGAACATGATGAAAACAGAGCAGCTTCAACATAAAGTAAATTTGTGGAAAAAACCTGAAAATACAGCAAAACAATTTTGCAAGCCACGAAAAAGTGAGACTGAGAAGAGGACAACATTAGATTTTTTACAAGCATGCTTTGATGCTTCATTTATTTAGCAGAAATAAATGAATACTTTCTGGGAAAATCTAGAATGACCCTCAGAGTGAAATAAAACATTTAATATTGGCTAGACCAGACAATACATGCTGAACCTTTACAAGACTGTTCTGCTAGGTAATTACTCCATCATTTGTGAACCCATTTCAGTCTGCGAACTTAGCCCTCTTGGAGGCTGAACAAGTTACAAAAAAACAAACAAACAAAAAAAATCCCCAAAAACCCATACCATCAAAAGCAGAGAAACGTATCAATATCTATTTAATGGTGGGGAAAAAAAGGCAAGCTAACAAATTTTAATGAGACAACAATTTGTCTCTTGGCTTAAAAAGAATAAACATCTCTAAACTACATCAATGTCAGAACATTTTCAATCCCCAAAACCTTCTCAAAGATACTGAGTGATTAACATAATTCTTTCCTTCAAGAGAAATAGGGGAAAAAAAAGATTTAAAACAGTATGTTATTTTGAATTAGTATGTAACCTGGTTATTTCTGTAACTGCATATATTTCAACAGTCTTTATAAGACAGGAAAACGAATCATCTGACTACTTTATCATCAAAAACCTCTTTAAACGATTGTTCTATTTCAAAAGGGCATTCATTGCTTTTATGGAACAAGAGCAAGTGACAAAGTTTTAGTCTGCTTAAGTTAGTCATCAGTCACATCAACTACATTTTAGAAGTATACTTTAAATTTGAAGATACATCATTGTATTGGTACAGCTGTAAGGAAGTTATACAAGTAGGGACATCTCCTGGCTTCTCCGAGTAAAACACCTCCCTTTTCCTTTCTTGCAGGATAAAAGCATTCACAACCCCTTCAGAAATTAAACAGTGAGCTACTCCAAAGCAGCACAGCAGCACCAAGACTTGTGTTCCAGTGATACTTAGTGAGCTTCATGCAGATGATTCCGCATGTGCCAATGACAAATTGTGATGTCACGAAGACTTGTAACAATCCATACTTCCAGTAAGCTTTCCAAGTTTTAAGATTTATTCATCCTAAGCTTTCTAAAGAAACCTTTGGAAGGAAAGCTGATCTTGTCCCTAATGAACAAAAACATCTGCCTCCAGCTTCTCTCACATGTGTCTTCATCAAATTACTAACTTTGTGTTTCTTATCTCCCTACTCTTTGGGATACAAACAAGATATATTTCCAGCTCGGAAATATCACTACTATTTTTTAATATACAGAGCTCTAGGAAACAGTACAAATGAAATTATCACAATAAAAGCAATACCAGCAGAACAAATACAGAGGTGTGCTTTGGAATTTTTAGTGACTGGAAGGATTACAAGCAATTGTGTGATTTTCTCACACAAGCTACTATTCAAATAACCTGTTCAACTGAACAGCTGTTCATCTAGTAGAATCCAAGATAGGGGGCAGTCATTGTAACCTATCAGACTTTATGAACAGTCACTTTTTACACCCAATCTATGTTAAGGCCCAGTATTTGTCTTTAGCATCTGCATGAGGTGCAGAGGTTCCCTCCTAGTTAGTAAACTCATTGGAGGGTGTTAGATACAGAAAATAGGGAAATGGGAACTTTAATTAAAGTGATAAACCTCAACAAAGGATGCTAGAATTTCTAATTGTGAAGCTATAAACAGTCACAAAGGATGGACTGTGCCATGCCTGGTTAAATCCATCCCCTTCCTCAATACCTAGGATTTAGATATTACAACTTGAGATGAGAACAGGTGGGAAAAAAGGTAACAGTGATGGAAGTGTATTTGTGTATTTACATGGCATGCATATTCTGTAGGAAGACTTGGGGAACAGTAGCAGACTCCCACCTACAGGAAGCAAAAAATACACTGAGTTTACCTTTGCTCTATCAGACCAGCCAAAAGACTGCACAGTCACATCGAGCCTCTTCATCAACATCCGCCGTCGACACTCGTACTCACTGCAAAGAGCATCATTGATCTTTTCCAATCTTTCCTGCAGCGTTACAATAAGAAATTCAAACAGACAAATATATAAAGTTATAGAGGTCAATTCAAACTTAACCCCATCCATAAACTAAGATGTCTATCCCGAGGTGACCACTACAAACTACACAGCATCTATGTAATGCTACAGTAGAATGCGTGTACAAAATGATTTGAAAATGAACAATGGGTGAATCAACACAAGGTTTGTTTTGTAATGTCAGTTCTGGAAGAATACCTGATTATCACTGTTAGTATTTAGCAACTGAATTTTAGTATTAATATTCAGCAATAGAACAGTGACTGTAAAAAGGCAAAGTTAAATGAAGCCATATACATTTATTTTGACCATCCTGGTAAATACTGAAAAGAAATGGAGAAACTTTACCACTTGGTCAGAGTTCAGAGGTTTTGTCAGCAGTGATTTCCCCACATGGTTATTTTTAACTTTTGAGAGAATGTCCTTCACCTGAAAAAAACACATACATCTCAGAACACAAATGATATTTAGATTTATTTCAGCAAAATTTGTTACAATCTCATTCTGCTACTCGGAAGATCACACACAGCATGTTTGTTTTAGCAGACTCACGAAACAGATACACATCTTCTAGCTTATGATCCACTATAAAAAGAACTCCTGAGTACTTTTGTAAGATGACCAGCCTCTATACAAAAATATTTTATGGCACATCACTTGTCCTCCCATTAACAGAACAATAGTTATACAGCAAATTTATCAAATGCATACAGGAAGTAGGACTAGCTAAATTACTCATTTTAGTTACTACTAAGTCTTGTAACGTCAACAACTGGAAGTTTGGACTTCTGTTGCCAAATGTTACACTGGGCTACAAAAAAATCTGGTGATGGGTGTTATTAAGAAAGGAAGGAGATATGACAGGCATGCAGTCATTCTTTCTCATTAATTTTATTCTAATCCTATAACTGGTTCCAGCTAACGTCATGTTTAAAACTTTTGCATTCACTCCAAATCAAATTTGCTTATACTTCTTCCACTATTTCTTGCCCTCAATAATTAGAGATGAAATATGCTCTACCTTCCAAACACCACTGTATTCTCCTCTCTCATCACAAGAAACCTCTACCTCCTCTTCCTGAGTGAACTTCCTTCGGCAAAGCTCTTCTAAAATCATTACCACGAATGCCCACAACACTTGTACATAGCCTGAACATAATCCAACTGATTTTTCAGCTGGAGTTGACTGCATGCACATTATTGTTCAAGTTTTGTACAGTCTGATGGAGTGAACTACATCTTCATTTGCTTCAGTAAATAACCATGGGGAACCAAGCAAAATGAGTAAAACTAGAATTAATTTTCGTTTGTATGTCCAAGGGAGGATTAAGGTAGTGCATGATCTACAGTAAAACCTGTATCTGGGGACAGCCATTAGATACATTTGCAAGGATTATAAGACTTCATGCGGGCACACAGGCATTTACATTACATTTGTCACAAAGGCATGGTTCAAAGCTCAGTTTTGAGCTTCACATGTTACAGAAATATAATCTCTAATGATTGCTCTGAAAAAAATTCCAGAAGTCAAAATTCAAATTCTGGAGCACCTAGTTAATTTTAAAAAGAAATACTTATTAAATCAACTTTCATATGGCAGGATTTTTATAATTATCTCAATTTTTTTTTTTTTTTCGTATATAAAGAAAAAAAATCTGGTCTCAAATTTTGTGTGAAAACTAAGGTTTTTGTTCTTTCTTTTTACATCGCTGCTGGGCAGCACTCTGGCAGGTTAAAAACACAATATCCCAGAAAAAGGTAAATATATTGTGCAGTGAGCAAATTAAGGGAAAACACTGTTTTGACTCCATCAGAAAAGACAGCCTAGCAGTATCTGAAAAGTGGCAATCTAGTGTAATATTCCCTGTTATTATATTCAATTAGTATCAAAAGAGGTTACAATAAGGGGTGAAGTTCAGTTCCATGTACCATACTGATCCCAACACTCTTTCTCTGATAATCCCTGCTTCTCTATAACCTTTTTCTTTACACAAAACACTCCAAGGTTGTCTGTCTTCTGCATGTAGCCAGTTTTTTTAACTGAAGCACACACAGAGTGCCATATTCCACTCCAAAACGCAAATGCACCTAAGCACAAACTACATTTGAATTTAAATAAATGCTTGAAGATCAAAATCAGAAGTTAATAATCAACAATAGAGTAAGATCAGTATGACAACAAGAGATGAACAGATCAGTCAGTAATGAGTATAGAAGAAGGAATGAATAGCAGATGAATTAACAATTCTATGGGGCAAGAGATGTCTCTTCATATACCACTGTGGTCAGAAATATTACCTCAAAGTTTGAAAGAAAGAGTCTATCAAAATGAGACCAGCTGCTGAAACAAAAACCAATACAGCAAAATGAAAAATTCTCAATGTAATTTACAGTTAGATTGTGAAAGCCAGTGATGCTGAATACTACCTAGAGATTAGAATGATTTTAAGTTTGCAGCTGCAAGGACAACTAAGAGGTAAACACAACAATGGGCTCCACACACAAAAGCCACACATTCTGCCATCACAAGTCAATCACTGCTGCATACTCCTAATTTCCATGAACTGAAAAGTGAAAGGAAGTTTAGAGAGAACAATTAAGGAAGATAATCAATGAAAATCAGAACCAGAAGAAACAAGAGCAGCTAAATGAAACAGTCCTTTACTGACTGAGAAACTACCCCCAAATTTCTGCAATGTTTTCTTTCAAAGTCAGAGAACACCTATATAATTTTTATCCAGCACAGCTTTACTAATAAATAACAGTTAAGGAGCAATCTCTTCACCGATGACCTGGTCTATACTCATGAACTGGTCTATGTGTTTGACACACTGTGAAGTCATATTCAGATTACTGAATCTCTACTTACTCCTCACTCCCACCAGCAGGGCTCCTGGGGAAATCCTACAGCTATAATGGTGAAGCAAGCTGAGCTGCCTTACAGCTGCAGAATACATTGTCCAGCCATGACTGATGACAGAGGTATGAGCACAGGAACTCTGGCACACAACAGTCTGCCAGAGGACAAGAAGGATGTGAGGAAATGGATGTGAGAATCTATGCTATCACCTGTATTCCCACACATGATAGTTGCCCTGGATTGAGAAGGATATGTAGGAGTTAAAAAAACTCACCACAACCCACAAAGAATTCTATATACATAAGTGGCAACAAAACCAAATGCAGTGCCCTGATAAAAGAGCAGTGAAAACATACTCAAAGTAACATAAATTGTAATTGTCAAATCATCCTAAAGTTTTTACACATTCAGGTGTAAAAATAAAACCAAATAATTAAAACTAGATGTAGACAAGTATGTTTGACTATTTGACATAGCATGTAATCAAAGACCTTGGTAACACTAAAAATGTATGGGATTGCTTTGGGAGTTCACACAGTCTCTAAATATAAAATGAAAACAAATAAGCCATTGGATCTGCTTGAGAAAAAACAACCAAATTAAAATCTGCTGCATAAAAATAAACAGTTATTCTATTGTTAACAAATAAAGTGTATCCTTATTGAACATGACATTCCTTATTTGTTTTGTAATTTTGTACAACTGAAAAAAAAAATTAGCTCCCATTTCATTACCCTGTTCAATGTATTTATTAAATATCCTCATCTTCTGTCAAAACAGAGCAGTAATTTTTACATTTAACACCATTTGCACAGAAAAACATCATATATGTATGCACCTCCAGAGTTTTTTGAGATTTTGAAAAAACCTGACCTGTGGACAGGTGTCGTATTATTAATTTAAATTTGAGGAAAGAATGTTGCCTTACTTAGTCATAAGGTGTACAGTCATACTGTACAGCTGCATAGAGATCACCCAAAATCTTAAGCACAAAATATTTTTAAGCCTCTCTTTCATATACCTGCAGATAAATTCAGTATTTATCTAACTTCAAATACATTTTTGTTTGACCCTGATGTCTGGAGACAGGACAACTCTTCAGTCTTGTTCCCTGCAGTAACATTAATCCTTACTGTCCAGGCACCATTACATCTGTAAAATTACTACAGATCAACAGTTAAATGAAACACATTAATTTAAATAATAATAAATTCTAGCATTTCTACCCAAATATTAAAAAAAAAATTCTTCTCACATTTCACTTAAGTATTATGTTAGCTTAATTTTGACTTAGTTTGTTCAGCAGCCCTTTTGTAGCTTCTTTTTATTCCACTGATATGTGAAAAGTAGCAGAGTACTTTTAATAATGTGGGCCAAAAAAGTTCAGAAGTCTTTTGAATAATATCACGTTAGAAGTTTTTTCAAATAAACAGTACTAGAATGTCACTTTGTAATTAGGTGTGAAATTCACACCATCTTGATTGGAAAACAGCCAGATGTAAGCACTAGTTACAAAGCACAACACTGGCATGAACTTTTCTGAATCTTTCATCAATGTTCATTTAGAATTTATGGAGGTTTTGGCATTAAAATTCAGATTGACTCCTAGATTCCCCCTTTGTATACTTCACAAGGAAACAGCATCTTAAACAACTTAAAAATTAATTAACTAATTACTATTAGTTTTTCAGTGCTGTATAATAAGATACACTTAGTGATAGAAGGCTGTCAATTTATCTCTCATTTTCTTAGGTATATTGATAACCACTAACCCAGGTAATTACAGGAGATGCAAAAGATACTTGCTATGATTGTACATTCAAAGTTTGAGCTACTATAAAACTCATTTTGAATGAAGAAAGCAGTCCTGATTTTATAATAAACTCTTAAATAAACTGCAAAATCACTTAAAACAATAAATGTTCTAATGTTCCATACCAAAATACAGTGTGTGATCTGGCCTTTGGTAGGTTGCTGCTGCACAGCCAAACTATTCTCAGAACTACTCCCACAGCTACTGACAATGCTGAAGATGCTAGACAGAGACAAAGAGTAGACATGTTGAAATGCTGCAGATACATTTGCAGATACACTAAATAAAAATACTAGATTGGTATGCAAGTCTGTATTATGAATGATATAATACTAAACATCAACAGTGCAATATTATGCAGAATCTAATTAAATCAAAACCGAAAACATATTTGGAAAAATAAATGTATCATTTCAAGTGAATTTCTGTGTTCATATTTAAAAAAAGTAACAAAACGGTGCTCTTAAAAAAATGTTTACAAAACCAATGAACTTTAATTGGTGGCACCACTGTTCTAAAGCAGCTATACCTATAAATTTAGGTCTCTAACCCTGTCATCTATCAAACCAACTCCAAACTTCTCCTACATTAAAGCAATGGATGAAGGACAAGTAAACACATTGCAGAAATTCTACAAAATCTCTTGCAAGGTAAGAAAAAATCCTTTGTTCATAAGGGATGAAACACACAGAGAACAGATTACACTATTAATTAGGAGTCACAGAAGATGAATGAACTGGTTTTGTCACCTTTCTACACTCTGAACTGAGTACAAATGGTATGACCACTGTGGAACTGGCAGACCTGAAAACCACTGGAAAATAGTCCAGGCAGCATTAATTAAAAAAAAAAAAACAACCAACCAACCAAAACCAAAGATAAAATACTTCTCAGATTCTGCTCGTTTGAGTACTTCTGAAAGGGTAACAGTTTATACAAACTGGGATGGCAACACCATGCACAATTCAAGCCCGTGATGCTGTCTGATAGGAAATGTCAGATTTTGCAAAAGGTGGCAGACACCAGGTGTCCAATAACCCAAAGAAAATGTTCTATATCACTATGTGCGTGTAAAGGAACTGATGCTCCAGGTCTGGTCTTGCAGTACCCCAACTGCAGAACTGGAGTCCTGTCCCTACCATGGGATGAAACTAAATCTGCACCAGAGAAGTGAAGCAAGGAATTAAGCAAGGAAGGTCACAGGCCATAGCTGCAGCCTATGAACACAGATGGATGTAAACACAGCTACCACTCACACAGGGAGATCAGCACAGTCAGGCCATCAGTCATCAGCTGTAACTCTGACACTTTCATTCCCAAAACAGTGCTAGAATTGTTTCTTCATCCCTTCAGAAACATTTACTGAATATAAAGATTTCCTTAGAACTAAAGAGACCAAGCACAGATAGTGTAGGAATAGGCAATTCCACTTGCACCTGGGTGATGCCATTTATAAATGAACCTATTAAAGGTTTTGTCTTGTCACACTGAAGACAGATGTAAGAAAATCATGTAAGTAATAGGCCCTCTCCCCAAAATCTCTGAATGTTCAACTGCCCAATTGTTGATGAGGAAGAATGAAAAAAAACAAGCACAATCATGTAAAATTATTAAATTTAAAGACTCAGAAGCAGAGGGAGTTTTTATTCTACCCTACAGAGGGGATCAGTCACTCTGTCCCCAAACACTAGAGAGAGATGAAGAGCAAAACTTCTAGCTGTGTGACAGAGAAGATAAATTCCACCTCAAGAGCCTATTTACATTCTGCAGTAAGGAAATCAGATTAAGGATCACATCAGTGAAATGAGTTAGAACCTGGAGGGACACAACAGAAAGAACTGTCTTGCTGACTAAGGTTTAAATTGCCTTATTCACTGAATAATGGCAATTGAGGCATTTTCATCCTCTTCTGCAACAAATCCACACTTGCAATTAAGAAATTAATAAACTCAAAAGGACTAATTTAAGTTTTGGATATTAAATTTAAATACATTCCAGAAATGACTGCAGGTACATAAATGCACAATCAGTTATTACCCAAAGTTTTCTGCTTGCTACAGCATTTTGAATGGGTAAGAGGAAAACTTATACCTTAAACTTGCATGGCAAATATGTCTGATCAGGTACATTGCAACCTCAGGGAAATGCTGAAATACTTCACCTCATAACTAAAACAGTTTAACTTAAAACACTAAGCTGGCTTTCAGAATTTAAAACTCTTTTGCACTTATCAGATAGGGTTTTTATGGGTGAGACTGCTGGGCCCTTAGCTCTACAATGAATGCTTACAGGGACAGCGCTTACAGTTTAGCAAGAGTGAGAAAATGTGAAAGTCCATACCTTTTGTTCCACACTGGTTAACAAGGGAGGAATACCAGAAGATGAGGAGTTTGGCAGACCCAGTGCATCACAAATAGCTTGCACTTCCTGAATAATTTCACTGTGCTTTTCCAAATGAGAGCCTTTAACTTTCTTGCTCTGCAATATCTTTAAAGCCTGAAGTTCTGTACTTAGAAATACTAGAGAGAAAAGCATCATAACAGCAATTTAGAGACAGTTAAGCATTTCTGCATCCACATTCTCAGTACAGCTACAATATCTTACATTTGCAAGATAACCGTGATTTGCTGTGCAAGATATACATTACAATATCTTACATTTGCAAGATAACCGTGATAAAAGGGAGACTTTCTCAGTTCTCTTCTGAATAGGTCAGTATGCTTCCCATTCTCTACCTCAATTCCCTCTCACCTGACTTCCTACCTTCAGTCTACACACTGCATTTAACTGTTCAACTTCCTTCTGCCACCAGATCCCAAGTTCCTTGGCTAGTTTCATATTACCACACTGGTTCCTGCTGCCACTCCTTTGTCCAAGTCCAACTTACACTTAGACATTGTTTCTCTCAAGTCTGCTTTCAGCACCTTCAGATTGTGCATAATTTCTGATTAAGCTGCCCTGAAACCTCTCACAAACACAGGAAGCAAGGTCTCACTTTAGGTGAGCAGGAACAACTGGATCAAGAGAGGGATCAGGAAGCCTCAGTAGGTTGCACCATACTTTTAAAAGAAATTTTAGTTTCTGCTGAACAGCTTTCTAATGCTGCTCTATTTTTCACTTTGCACAAGTGAGTTGATGCATGCTGAGCTAGTGTGTAATGACTGTACACATCAACTAAAAAACACAAAGAACTCTTCAGTGTAAATTGTTCAGTTATGATAAAGCATGCACATAAAATACTGTATTATAAATGGGAAAAATGATTATTACTCACAAAGGAGTTTAAGACAATCTTCTTTCTCTCTTAATCTGTCTTTGATGTCTCCAGACACCAGTGATGAATACGGACAAGCCATTTCTCTCAGAAAGCCACTAATTTCAAGCTGGAAGCTCTCTATATCTTTCACTCCTAAGGAAATAAATGCACAATTAATGGCTTGTTACAGAAACATCAAACTGCAATCTAATTTTTTTAACATACACGTCTATTGCAGATTTCAACAGCCCACCTACCTACCCAGTATTAACCACCTACTACCCCAGTAACATTTTTGTTTAAAAAGTCCTATATACAAGAAGATATGCCTTCTAATAGTATCTTGAACTCATGCTTTGAATGAGGTAATGCTACAGCAGTCTGTGAAGACATGAACAGAAATGCCCATCAGTAGGAAGTGAACAGTTTATATCACTATATAGCGTGTCCATGCACCTAATTTTCTGATGAAGAAGTCACAGGAGTCATGAGCCCATTATTTTCAGTGATTGGTTTTAGTTCCACTACTTTTTTGGTAAAAACATAAGTAATATAAAGTCTCATCCAAACTCCAGCCCTCGGGCAGAAACAATCGGGCAGCACTACCAAGCACTTCAGGTATCCACACACGGTGCTGACCACAGCACTGTGCTGGACCAACAGCCGGAACACACCCGGCACTGCAATTCATGCCATCAAAATAGGATTACAGGCATGAATGTACTTTTCACATTTATGTATATCTAAAACCATCTCAAATCACCTTCTTTTTTCCTTTTGAAACAGTCTTCAGAACAGAAGATCTTAATCCAAGAGCCACATATATACAAATATCAGTCTGAGCTGGGCTACCTTTCAGCTTACTTGTAAACTTCAACACTGTAATTTCACTATTAGCTGAACAGTATGGCTCTAAATCCACTGAACAAATACTAAATTAACATTGATATACCATCTGTTGCAGTGATGCTTTCTTCCATATTACAAAGTGACTTTATCTGGGAACCTAACCAAATGCAAAGCTCAAAAAATTCTGGTGAAGACAATCCATTTTCTGCTGCTTTTTTAAGGGCCTCCTCCTCCAACAGGGCACCCGTGTACCTGCACAGATGGATAAACATTAGTAATAAGAAGCAAGCATAACATAAAATATACATATTTTCAAATTATTTTACTGTAAACTGGTTAGTAACTACATTCACTTAAAGGAATGAATCTTTCTACGTTACTTTCATCAAGGAATAATTCAGACTTCTTTTTTTTAAGCACATCAAAAAGTTATTGGTCATTTATATACAAAAGAGTTTGTCAGAAAATATGAGACAGGCACTTCTACATGTGTGCGTGAAAACACTCTGATCTCTCACTTTCCCTTTAAAAAAAACCCCAAAAAAACAACAACACAAATTTCAGATGTAATTAGGCCTGAGAACTCAAGTGTTAACTCAAGTGTTTGGTGAAACCGCCTCCTAACAGTAACAACTAACTGCCTGGGAGTACTGGGAATAACGTAACTGAAAGCCAGATTTCGCACAGTTTTTGTCCCGTACCATCCGAAGCACACCGCGGGAGGTGGGCAGGCACCACAGAAGGCGCTGCTGCCCCGCCAGCCCGCGGCTGCGGCGGGCCGCTCCGGGCCCAGCCGGGCTGCCCGCGGCCCCTCGCCCCTCGCAGGGGGAGCCGCCGCTGCTCCCCGGTTACCCCAAGGCCTCCAGCGCGTCCAAGATGTCGCTCTCCATCCCCGGGCCCGGCGGCAGGTCCCTCATGCCGGCGCCGTGCCGCGCCGCGCGGTGCCCGCCTCAAAGCGGCCCTCCGCAACCGGCGCCGGCCGCCGCGTTCCGCTGCCGCCGCACGCTCCCGCGGCCGCCCCAGCGCTGACCACGGCCGCGGCACCCAGGGAGCGCCCGGGCTCCTCCGCCCTCCCCGCACTACAGCCGGGCCGAGCGCACCGCCCGGGCCGTGACCCCGCTCCCGGCCGAGGCCGGGCCCCGCCGAGCCCGCAACCGGCGCCGGCCGCCGCGTTCCGCTGCCGCCGCACGGCAGCCCCGGCCGGGGGGCGGCCCCGGCTGCCCCCGCCCCTCCCTCGGCGGCCACCCCCGCTCCGAGCGGGCGCTGAGCGTCTCGGGAGCGGCCTCCGCCTGTGTCTGGGGGTGACCCTTCCGTACAGCCCTGCCTTTCTGCCCGTGCTGGGGGGCGCCCGGGTTCCCTCGCCCTTCCCCGGCGGGGCTCGTCTCCTCCTGGCCCTGCGGCTGTGCTCCGGATTTGGCCCCAAACCCCTGCCCGCTGGCCCCGCTCCACGGGGTACCGGCCGCCTGGAGGAATAGAGGATCAGGAGCGACCGCAGCCACCCTTTGAGGCTCCGGACATGGCTCATGCCGGGCAGCCAACTCTTCCACCCCTACACAAGCCCCCTCTGTGTCGTGGTTCGAAAAGCTGGTGTTGAGGCATTATTTCTGTGACTTCTCAAATTGAGAAATTCTGCCTGAGATGGTGCAGGCCGTATCTCCTGGGCACCTGCAGATTTTCCACTGTGGGGTGGTGCCTCAGCCCTGCTGTGTGCATTTTGGCTGATGTGAACTCTCTCCCCTGTGACTATTGTGGGACTGTGTTTCAGGGTGCTGATAATATAGAGATGTTTTTGTTATTGCTGAGCGGTGCTTGCACAGAGCCAAGGCTTTTTCTGCTTCTTGTGCTCTCATAGTACCCCAGCTGTGAAGGGACTTCACAGGGGTGGTGCTGGGAAGAGGCGCAGCCAGGACAGCTGACCCCAACTACCAAAGTGATACTCCAAACCATGTAGCATCATGATCAGTATATAAAGCTGGGGAGAAAGGGAATAAGGGGTGATGTTTGGAGTTGGAGATGATGGCATTTGTCTTCCCAAGTAACTCTTGTCCTGGCGATGGCTGAATGCTCCCAGTGGGCTCATGGGAAGCAGTGACTTAATTCCTGTTTTGCTTTGCTTGCATGCATGACTTCTGTTTTATGTATTAAACTATCTTTTATCTCAACCCACAAGTTTTCTAGCCTTTGCTCTTTACTTTTTAACCTACGTGTGTTTCCATTTTTTTGATTCTCTCCCCAGAGGGAGAGAAGGAGGGAGCCAGTGAATGGTTGCATGTTGCTTGGTTGCCAGGCGGTGTAAAACCACAACAGCCCTTTTGACCTTTTTTAACCAGTGTTTTCTTATATGGACCTTCAGAAAATCCAGTGGCTACATCTGTGATGAAGACCAGTAAGGCACACAATCAGATGGAAATAATTATTTCAATACATAAATATTCTTAGTCTGCGAAATCTCTACAATTTTTGAAGCAACTATTTTGAATTATTTCTGTTTAACAGAAGATGTGGCTTTATTGAGTGCTAAGCTTTAAAAAGTGGGTATCAGGACAGCTATGACATCCTCCCACATGCACAGACAGAAATCTAGATATTAAAACATTGTTTATGGCAGTCAGGGGAAGGAAGAGCATCCTGAAGGCTGACACACTTATGCTGACCATACGTGTACATCAGTGCCAGTACCTCAGCAATCCCTTTCACAGCTCTCAACTGGCATGTACCATGTGACAGAACTTCGATGCTTCTGTTTCAAATGGGCTAACATAATTTCTCTAAATGAAGGAGCATGCATCTGAGAGCAGAGATTCAGAACATGAATTCTTGCTCCTTTTTAAACATTAACATCAATTAGTAGAATGAGAAAACAAGATACACAGAACTGGACAGAAATACCCACTTCTGTTTTCCTTTCTTTTTTAAAGCTGTATCTTTGTGCCACCCAGAGTGATTCATCCCTATACAATTGTTCTCCAAAACTGGGAAATTTTCATATCAGTCAATAATGCAGGTTAAGACAAAGAACTGGGAACAACTAGAAGTGAAACTAGCATAACATTATCAAAACTAAAAAGAAACCTAGTGATTTAAGAGGTACTGTGTGGTGGTACAAGTAGATGGCAGCAGTGGTTCTTGCTGTAAATATTCCTAATAAAAGTATTTTGCTAATTTATGTTACAGGAAAACACCTAAATTAGTAATTTTCTCCCACTGTCTTTTGATAGCATTGCTTATATATATATATATATATATATATATATATATATATATATATATATATGATAGCCAAGCATGTGTGTCAGGTATCAGTCACTGCTTTAGTTCCACAGGGTGTTCTTGAAAAATCATAACTTTTCTGTGTACTAGAGCTGTTCTGTGTATGAGGGAGGACAAGTTTGAGTTTCCCAAACTGTCTATTGACACCCACAGCTGAGAGACGATTTTGGTTGTGATTGTATACTTATGCTCCTCTCATGGTGTTACCATTCATGCAGTCCACAGCTTTCTCCATGTCCATTCCTGAGTTTCCCATCTCTGGAGACGGGGAAAAAGGATCATGGGAACGCTGGCTGAAACACATTTTGTAACGATATATGCCCACGGTCGTGGACTTTGCCTTTGCCCCATGCCCTTTGCAATATACAAACATAAACATCAAACCACAAGCACACAAGTGAGAACACCAGAGGGAGAGGTCTCGGTGCTCCACAGCCATTACTTTCCAACAGAAGGCCCATGTGACTTTAGCTAGCTCACCAGTGCCCTAGAGCTTTTCAGTTTTTGTCAGAATTTCTTTTTCACTGGACTGCCAGTTAGCCATCTCCCTCAGCAGTCAGGTAACTCCTAGTGCAAGGAAGAAATAGAGGTGCACAGCCAAGATTAGAAAATGAAGATAGCATTGGATCAGCACTGGCTTGAATCAGCTCAAACTGATACAAAATGGCAGCTGTGTCTATCTGTACAGCAAGGTGACGATGGGAATTTTGTGGAAAGGGCTGCCAATCTGTATGAAATCTCTAAATTACAAGTTGCCTGTAATCTTGCTAAAAAACAAAACACATGACTCAGTTTTTTACCGAGGTAGGTAAACCTCAAGCATTTACTTGTATGAACAAATTGTTACACTGTTTGAAACTGCTTGAGAAGTATTCCTGCTGCCAGGCTCGCAGTGGGCATTCTCACACAGCCTAATGGCAGGAATGGGGAGGAAGGGTCCTGCTTACTGCTACAGCAGGGCATCACCTCCTGGTCTGCACTGCCAACAGAGATGGCTTTGGGTTCTATGTGGTGGACACAATCTGTCTGCTCCTAGAAGGGAAAATAAAGCTGCCCACAGATGAAGCAGCTGCACATTTCAAAGATTCATTGCTTTGTCTTTCTCATATGCAGCATAGGAATAAAAAACGAGGTCTCTTGAATTCAAACAGAATGGAGCCAGACACCATTTTAATGCAGGAGAGGTACAAGTAATTTGTACTAAGAAACATTTAGCAGACAATTAATTGACCACTAGAGGGGATCATAGGAGTGGAGAAGGAGTTGAATGTACTACATGATTAATGCTTTCCTCTAATCCAAGCTCGCCTACGTGCAATGTTAAACAGTATTTGCAGTTTAAAAATGATTGAGAAAAGACAGCAATCTGCACTCTGTGCGTACTTAGGTTGGTACAAGAAGCTTGTATTAAATTTAAAATATATCAATAACAGGTTTACTTGTTACAATGAAACAGCTTCTTTACACAGATATTTTTTCATCATTTTAACTTAATCCAGAATAAGTCTGTTCAGTTTCCATCTGTAAAAAGGTGCTAATCATTCTTTTATCCTATTTTAAAAAAATAGGTTCTGTTCTTCAGACTTGCTGTCATTTAAATAAGTGTAGCTTGCTTGTTTAAAAGCTAGTGTTAAGTTGCTTTTAATCCTTCCATAAGCTTGTTCTTATCTTTAAGGATGATTTAGGAGTAGCCACCCCAGGCAGTATGAACCTCATTACATCATTGTGGAATCAGACTGCAAGTTGACATTGATCTATATATTTTAATTACATCAGTCTCACAAATGAAGTATTCGCAATGAATGTGAATGATGTGATATCCACATCACCGAACCTGAACAAATTGCCGCTAGCCACAAGGATCCTGCCCATCCATTTACTGGCTATCTTGCTGAAGTTGAACTTGACATCCCATCATAAATATTTGATTTAGAAATCACCCTTCTAACATCTTCCAGACCAAATCAAGCCACCTGAAGCAGTGACATCAAAGTTTTCAGTCCAGAATGAATTCTTTCAAGAAATTACACAGTAATAAATTCTGCAGAATACAAAGTTCAGTTCCTTGATATAATGGACTGCTCTCAAGTGACTTTCTTATGGCACATCTCTCTGCACAAGGGTGGGAGAGGGCAGAACCAGGCAGCCATTGACACCTTGCACAATGACTGCAACACACCCACTAGTACCCTTTTTCCAGTACTTGTCTAAGAAGATGGTGCCTTTTCACTCTCCTTGAGTTGGAATAAAATGAATAAGGCAGTCTAGCTTTGCAAGGTTATAGACTTAATTGCACATAGTTGAAGTTACTGAGTTTTGTCATTTACCTTTGAGGTAGTAGATGCGGAGCCTAAATATTTCAGTGAGATGGGCTCGCACTTTTCAGCATCACTAAATAAATATGAATAATTTGTTTCTCTTTTTTTTCCTAGTGGTGCACTACAAGAGAAGCATTATGACTGTTAAAGAAGCTAGATTTCTTTTTGCTTAACTGGATTCTCCCAGAGAATATATTAATACACAACAATACAGAAAGAAAGGCACTGAACATAAGCAGCTTTACAAAATGGAAAGCTGAATGACATGTGGAATTGCCAGTACCTTTCACCTCTGTCAGGGGACTCAGTTAATTGTCTTCTTGCTACCAAGATAGTAATTATACTGTAAGGGCTAATTACATCTGAAATTTCTGTTGTTGGTTTTTTGGTTTTTTTTAAAGGGAAAGTGAGAAGATGATGTAGCCCTTAGGTGCCCTGTGAACATTTGTTTGTGGAAGAGGCTGCAGACTGCTGGTCATAATTTTGTAGGCATTATTCCATTATGAATGAGATTGAAGCCACAAACTAGTGCAACAAATTAAGTGAGCAAAAAAAGACAGACCTGCAGTAAGTCTGGTCCCTGCTGCAGCAAATGTTCAGCCTGGCAGGACAAAGCAATGAATATTCCAAGTTCTTATTTCTTATTCTTTTAAAAATAAACTGTGCCCATTTTGCTCTTCAGACCATATGGCATGAATAATTTCAGTGAAGCATTCATCACATCATGATTTACACTGACAT